GTCCTGGGGATATCCATTTGCTTTTGGCGATTCGGATATCCCTAAGATATCCTCTGGATATCCATGGACATCTCTAAGATATCCCAGGGATATCCAAACCGCCGAAAACAAATCGATATCCCCAGGACGTCCCAAGGATATCCTGAATATCCTTTTGTTGTGAGGGAATGTAAAGAAATTTAAATTTATGAAAGTGGCAAAAGGCCGATTAACAAGAATTCTGATTTATTTATTTATTAAATTTTTAAATAATAATGAGATCGATTCAGAAGGAAACGACACATATAATTAATTTGGGGACTCACCGTCCAGTTGACGACGACGAAGACGCCTCGTCCCACAATTACAATTATCTTTCATTTTTAATTTGGTTTCACAAAAAAAGAAATACTAGAGGAAAAACACGAACCACACTGTACTGACACCAAGATGAGAATGAGAGTAAAATGGCTGACGATTCAAACTCGAAAGCATCGCTAAACAGCGGCCATTTTTCTCGGTCCATAGGAAGTTGACTGCCAGTATTGATTTGACAGATCGTCAAAAGACAGCAATTTCGTCTTCCTGGTGTTCTTGAATATTCGCGACTCTCATCCAAATATATACACTAAGAAGCTCTTCCTTTTGTGACTTCTAATTTTAATGTTAAGAACATTTTTTATAATTTTCAATTTACCAAATAATTATTTCTCATAATTATTATTGTAGCGAATTAGTATTTTTCATAATTTTTATTTTTCCAAAAACGTGTTTATACTGTTTTCGATTTTACATTATTACCATTTTTTATAATTTTTTTTCTTCGAATTACCATTTTGTACTATAAATATTTTTTCGAACAATTTTTTGTTTTAAAATGTAATTTATCAAATTTATATTTTTTCTATTTTTAAAAATAACGATTTGCTATTTTATATAATTTTCATTTTACCAAATTGACATTTCGCATAATATCTAAATTTTCTAATTATTATTTTTCCGAATTTTAATTTTAACGAATTATTAATATTAGAATTATTTCTTTTGCGAATTACCATTTAACATAATTTTAATTTCCCCTAATATTTATTTATTCTAATCTCTATTTTCTCGAATCGTTATATGCCAAAATCAGAATTTTCAAGAAACTCCATTTGCCCTAACATACTTCCGGTCAATTTCAGTACTGTAGTTTCCCATCTACATTAATTTATGGAATTTTTGCGCCACTTCCTGTGACGCACCCTATCATACCGACAAGCGATGACCTGGCGAGGATAAATTCCAGAAATTAATGTAGATGGGAAACTACAGTACTGAAATTGACCAGAAGTATGTTAGGGCAAATGGAGTTTCTATAAAATTCTGATTATGGTATATAACGATTCGAGAAAATAGAGATTATTATAAATAAATATTAGGGGAAATTAAAATTATGTTAAATGGTAATTCGAAAAAGAAATAATTCTAATATTAATAATTCGTTAAAATTAAAATTCGGAAAAATAATAATTAGAAAATTTAAAAATTATGTGAAATGATTGATAAAACTATTTTTCCTTGTATGTAACGCATTTTAAGACACCAAAAAAGAGTTTAATAAAAACTTATGTGAATGGTATGAAGAGTCGTTGTCTTACTCTCTATTGTGAAAACGTACGATTGAAATAACTTAGAACATATGGGCATGAAAACAATTTTGGATCGAATGACGTTTTCACTGTGTAGACGTTTCCAAACGATGAAATTCAATTTTCATCGCCCAGAGGTAAGGCCAGACTGTGAGATCGTAAAGGAAAAGCAAAGTAAGAGTGTAGAAACAAAGTAAAGAGAGAAATAAAAAAAAGAAGAAGAAGAAAAAAACAGTCATGCCTTTGCTAAAGAAAGCTTTTCTAAGGAGATTCAAGAGTACTTGATATATATATATATATATATATATATATATAGCAATCAATTGAAATCGATTCGTAGAATCGAAATGTAAAGAAGAAACAACAATAAGGATGCGCTCAGCTAAAGAAAGTTTCGATCATGTATTCCTTTTTTATGTTATACCCTTTCAACATTTCAGATGCCGTAAAATATACATAAACAATCATTAGAACAATTGAATTGAAAAAAAGTAATAATGCTTGTAAGGAAATATCACGTTTAGTTCAATTTTCCGTAAAATCTTTTTGAATTTTCTATATTGAATAAATAAATATAAAGAAATACCAATCGAAATTCCAAGCATGATACTTTTATTTCTTTAACAAATTCAGTAAAATTATTCCCAACAAAAATAGTATAAAAAATTGTTTTATATTTAGTTATAGAAAAAATAGAAAAATATCGTTTTTTTTTAAATTGTCTATCATTATAACTTTCAAACATTTAATTTTTAAACTCATATTTATTGAGCTTACAAAAACTAATGAATATTAGTAATTTTATTATTTGTAGTCAATGACAAAAAAAAATTATTTGATTTAAATAATCGGTTACTTGACTATTATCAAATACATTTTTATTTAAATTAAATAAACTATATTTGATCCAAATATTTGTATATTTTAAACAAATACCATTTAATTGACTCAAATGATAATTATTTTATACTAATAAATATATTTATTTGATAATAATCAACTGATTATTAGAATCAAATAATCCAGTTATATAAACCATTTCATTTTTTCTTCAATTATCAGTGAAAAGCAAATTGAGAAATAAGGATTTATATATAAAAATTTATATATATTTGTGGTGAATGGAAGGACCACACAAAAATCCTGCAAATGCAGGATAAGGATTCGAAACGATTCTTGGTCTGTTATGATAGGGTCCCTTGAGACTTGACTTGTTCTCAAACTGTTTAAATTGCCTGTAGCTCGAAGAAAACGATACAAACACATAATACCTGACAAATCGTCAATTCGAATCGTTCAATGTTTTTTTTTTCTAAAAAAAAACTTTATTTATAGAACATCGTAAAAAAATTGATACCACTCCTGCACGTAATGCGGATTCAATAAGAATTTTGACTTTATACTACGGCATCAATTTCATTGTATACACTAAAGTACAGAAAAGTGAATTGTATATATACTCAATTCTGGCTTTTGAAGTCATTTATCATTTGCAAGAAAGAATATAAGCTGTATACGTAGGTATATATATATATATATATATATATTCCTTGGCGAAGTAGGCGACCATCGTTTTTATGTCTCCAAAGATATACATCTTTTCTGACAAAAAAAACTCTTATACACTTTTAGAATTCTTCCTCTGCATGAATTTTTAAAACATTTTCAACATTTCTTTTTAAGTCTAATCTATAAAACTTCTTTCTTTTTAATATACTTTTTTTTGATGATTTGTTGGTTGAGTCAGGTAGGGATTTTTTATTATGTTTTATATGAGAATTGTTGTTTTAGAAGTTTTTTATAACCCAATTATAATTACGTTTGTCAATTTTTGTCCAGTTTAAACCAATCAGAATAACTTTCCGAAATAGTGGTGAAAAATGGTACTACTGAACGTAGGATAAAATGCTAAGCCATGCCCCCAGCGGACATCCCAATTGGGATCTGACATTCGTACACATGCCATCTGGTGTTGAAAAATGTAACTAGTTTTGGATAACTGTTTGTGTCACTTGCAATTGTAGTTCTGCTGTCATTGTTAATTATTTTATCATTATGAATGAAGCTACATTTTTACCGCGTGAGAAATCTTCCTGCAGAATTAAGTGTTCTGTGAGAGGCTGTGGCAGTACTGTAGCGAAAAATTTAAGCGTAATTTTCCATAAATTTCCGAAACCAAAACCAAAATTACACGATTTACATCACACTTTATAATGTGCCCGGCTTGCAAAACGCGTTCACCTTCAATAAATTTTCGTTGAGCAGGATTTGTACCTGCCCATGCGCAAATACTGTCCATAGAAATGAACATTTTCTGCATCCCATGTTATTCCCATGTAAATTCACTAAAAGTGTTACCCAATTTACGCCATATTGCTTTAGGCCCCGCCCCCATGTCAGATCCCAATAACGATGTTACAATTAGGACCGGTGAATGCAACGAATCGCTTCGTTCTGAGCGTCTATTTCTCTTTTTGCCGGCAGGCGTGAAACGTGCGTTTGTCGTCTGCTTTAGACACAGGGCGAAAGCGTCATCTACAACTTTACGAAATTCTTACCGCGGGATAATTCAAATCAAGATGAGCTGTCAATAACAACATATTTACTTTATTTAACTATTAATTACATATAATAATTTCAATCGTTATATATATTTTGATATTTTTATTTTAAGACTTATAATATACAAAGATGGAAAGTGGGAAGGAGTGGGTAAAGAAAAAAATACATGATTCACCATGAAATTAACTTATTAATTAGTCACTCATTTTTTAATTTTCACTAAACGTTTATATGTTAATGTATGTTATTATATATTGTATTTCAGAATTTTTTTTGTAAACCAGAAAGTAATTCTTCAAAATGCACCTCTAATTTTTTTCGTTACATGTAATTTTCTAGTTCTTAATTTTTTTCAACGTTCATCGTAAGCGTTCATATGAAATATTTATCACTTTCATTTTCCGAGCCAAGCGTATAATATACATATATGTGTGTATAAAAGTAATTGTTAAATATGATTAAAAAAATGAAAAGCATAAAATCATGATTGACATATAAAACTAACACGTGTATTGAGAGAGAAACTCTTAGAAAGATTAATGTTTTCGTAAATCTCCCGTCAGTTCACAAAATTCATTGTTAACAATTTTTCATTAAAAATCACATTTTAAGAAAATTTTTCTATGTACATTAGAAAAAAAAGGTAATTGAAATTCTTCCTTTATCTATTTTTTTCGAGTGGAAAATATTTTCTGTCTAAAAAGGACATTGTGTTGGCAATTTGAAATCCTTGAGTTCACTTTACTGTGTGTATGAACGTAGTAGATACTTGCTCGCATCTTTATCGTTAATACGATGAAGGCCTTAATCGCACACTTCTTGTTCCAGGAATCGACGAGACCGGAAGAGAATAAAACGCGCTGATCCTCTTCTTAAGGACCGTAATCCTTTAGTCTGGGATTCACGTCCCCCATCGACGATCGCGACGAGATTTAAAAGAAGTGGAATAAAAAGAAGAGGAAAAAAAAATAAAACCAAAGGATATATAGTAAAAAAAAACGCAAGTATTGAAGGAGAAAACTAGGAGAAATAAAAATGTCAAGTAAAGGCAGGAAGCCATCACGGGTGAAAAGGGCAAAGATTTCGTGATTGGCTGAAAAATAAAGAGCTGAGAGAAAGAAAAGGGTTTTCCGAGAGATAAAATGGAAACTCCGAAGGATGTATTACATAGATCGCTGGTTCAAAATATCAGCATCTCTAACGACCTTTGGTATTTGGATGATCCACCAGGATTTGCTGGTGGTGGAAGACATAGGATCATTAATGACGAGATTAATTTTAATTTTTTACGCAATGACTCGAATGACTTGAACTATCAAGTTGAATGGTTGAATGATCCAGTTGAAGCATCTGTGACACCACCACTTAAGAAGATCACATCCCTAGAGAAACAAACAATGGCAACTACAGCTGAAAATTTAACAATCATGTCGGATTTATTTATGTTCGATGATATTAATGAGTACATTCGAAAGTTTAATTTAAGCTCAAATTTAACGAATTATGGATGTACGAGTTTTAATTTAAGTAATTGCGCGAATAGTACGTCTAGTGATGGGGATAAAGAGGAAGTTAATAATTGGTGGGCTTTGATATTAGTTGTGGTGCCGTGTCTCACCCTATTTGGTAATGTCCTCGTTATCTTGGCTGTTATGAGGGAAAAGGCTCTTCAAACTGTCACCAATTACTTCATCGTCAGTCTAGCATTGGCCGATCTTCTGGTTGCAGTTCTGGTTATGCCCTTTGCTGTTTATGTTTTGGTAAGTCAAATTTTTTTTAACTTTTCTCATTGTATGTTATGTGTATATGAATATTAATACTTTGTCAAACTAAATTCATCTAGTTATAATTAACAAGAAAATTAGATTTCTAAAATTTTAACTGACACATTGAATATGGCTTTCAAAAATTTATTCAAGTTAATTTAATATTTATTTGAAGTACCGTAAACTGGTGCTATTCGGAACAGATTTCAATATTGAATTCAATTTTTTTTCTTTTTTTGGTCTTGTCTAGCACTTTGATGGTTCAAAGAGTTGTTGTAACAGGTGCCTGGAATTAAGAGAAAAAAAGACAAAGAGATCGGTTTTTTCAAAATTAAATAATGGGGCTATTTGGAACAAAGCGGAAAATACCATTGAAAACCGTGTTGAAAAGTCAAAGAAGTTATTGTTTATTTCTCTAAAGTACAAAAATAATTAAAAACGTGCATTTTAGTCGCTTCTGGTATCGTCAGATGAGGTTGACGACGAAGTCACTGGTCGTTTTGCTGCTCTCGACACTTTTTTATAATTTCGAACCATCTACAAACACAAAGAACCAAATTATATGACAAAATACAATATAAAAATTACAAAAAATTTAATTGTGTTGCTTATAACCCCGCCGCTTGTCAAATTGGTTTTTATCTCATAAATCTCACTGTAAATACAAAATAAACACATTCATTACTTAGTAAGCTCGATAAAACTTACGATGAAGAAATCTTCTAATGGAAAACAATCACTTTGAGAAGTGTTGAAACAACAACAACTTGCCTCGGCAATCAAATGTTTCCTAAAAACCATAGTGTTGCGAAAAGCTAAAAAAAGCAGACTCTTTGGCTGAACTAATTTTCATCCTACAGAACTATCGCATGGAATTAAACTTCGTAGGTGAAGAACCCTGGGATCTCATTTGAGCGACCATTCTGAAGTGCATCCTTTAAGTTATTGTTAACATTTTTCTGAATGTTACAAGATTGAACCATCTTTGAGATTTCGTCGATTGAGGGCAGAAACACGCCAATTCAGGCGAATGTTGAGAAACATGACAATCTAAAAAATATTAGGAAAAGCTGCCATTCCAGTGAAGATTTCAAAAACATGCCATTTCAGATGTCAAATTTTTGTTAATTGTTTTAAGTTGGTAACACTTTCTTGAGAATGTTATATTATAGTTAACAAAATTTTATTCTTGAAATCAATATTAAAAATTAAGAAAAGTATAATTATTAATAATAAAATTATTAAAGGTTCTACCGACTTAACCATCAATATTCAACAAAATATTAATTATTTTGACTCATAAATTTTTCGTTTACAGTGTTACCAACCTAAAACAATCAACAAAAATTTGACATCTGAGATGGCATGTTTTTGAAATCTTCACTGGAATGGCAGGTTTCCCTAATATTTTTTGGATTGTCATCTTTCTTAACATTCACCTGAATTGGCGTGTTTCTGCCCTCAATCGACGATTTTCTCTTCGATCTTCATAAGAAATTTTACCACTTCTTTTCTGTAGCGGGATTACGAATAACAACAGCGCTACGAAGATTTTCCTACTTAAGATTTGAAGCTACATTCACTTAAAAATTTTTTTAGCTTCTCAGTGACTCAAAAAAATTGTATCAGTTTAATAAATTTAGGTTAGTACAAATGTTTCGCTTGTAAAATTCAAAGATAGAAATTATATTACGGATACTTTTTTGAAGCGGAAAGTATGACATCAACAATTATGGATTCAAGTTAAATTTACTTGCATTTAATCAAAATGTTCAAACAAATAATTTTTTGTAAATTATTTTCTTTAAAATTAACAATTGGCAAACATGATGTTAGTGAATTGTTTTCACCTTTATGTCATATTGGTTTGCTACGTAAATAAAATCTTTTAGGAAATTGACACGAATTTTATGTCAAAGGTCTTATCTAGTCTTATCTTACGATCTTGCAGTTTAAGTTTTGAAGAAACTATCAACGCTATTTTATTTTGGACATCATTTAGAACAAATTTCACTAAAAATATGTAAGTTTTTAACCCTTAATAGCAAAAAGCGCTACATAGTGACTATGGCTATTGGTAATCCCACTACTGAGCTTCATAAGTAGGTTTGATGTACTGCATCTTCTTGCAGTCTCTTCAACCACGATGTTCTGTAGTTCTTCAAATACTTCTTCAATTTCGTCGACAATAATAGTTGGAACATTTAAAATGGCGTTGTCCACAGGCAACCGATCATTATCCCTACTCCAGCAGTGGGATTACTATTAGCGCTAGTCGCTATGTAGCGCTTTTTGTTATTTAGAATTGAAAACTTACATATTTTTAATGAAATTTGTTTCAAATCATGACCAAAATAAAATACCGTTGACAGTTTTTTCAAAGCTTAAACTGCAAGATGGTAATTTAGAAGAAAATATAAACATAACCCCTCTAGATAAGGACATTGACATAGAATTCATGTCAATTTCCTAAAATATTTTATCTACGTAGCCAACAAATACAACATGAAGGTGGAATCAATTCTCTAACTTCATGTTTGCCAACTGTTAGTTTCAAATAAAATAATTAACTAGTGACGAAATAAATTATACTTTAATATTGCAAATAACCTATTAATTTAATGAATAACAACTTTAAACAAGTTGTAAATTCAGATGTTCATTACATGAACATTTTGCTTCCTCTTTACGATCAGCAAAAAAATTTGCTTCCTCGTGAAGAAAGCAAAATTTTATTGACAAAATGTGAATTTTTGATTTTTTAACTTTCATTAATTCTTTAAATTTACCTCAAATGTATACTTTATATATCGATCGATTCGTCTTGACGTAAGGAATACAATTATTTCATATATAAACTTTAATTTAAAAAATCACAAAATTTTATAGCCAAAATGTGAATTTTTGATTTTTTAACTTTCATTAATTCTTTAAATTTACCTCAAATGAATACTTTATATATACACACATACATCCGGACAATTGATCAGGATCTCATATAACATGTTTCTATAAAGAAAAAAATTTGTTTCCGCCACTTTGAAAAGTTTTATAAACGAAAGGACTACCAATTTTCCTCCACGAGGAAGCAAAATAAATTATCTAGTTTAATGTTAAAATAATTTATAAAGGAAATAAATTTTTTTAATTTAATTTAATAAATAAAAATTAAGAAAATTAATCTTATTGCAAGAATTAAAAATAATAATTGCATGAGATTTAAAATTAGGATATTCTTTACCAGCCTAAATTTAAAAATTGATAAATTTTTTTAGTTAAATTGATTTAAATTTTCATTTCTTGAAAAACTCTTTAACTTACAAAAAATGCCCTATACATTTTTTTAGTGAAACCTTGCGTGAGAACAAAAATTCTATTTCCGAGGTTATATCTTCAAAATTTTTTAAATTAAATTTTTGTCCCCATTTTAGACAATGTCTAATAGAAACTTTTAATCCTATGAAAAAGATAATAAATATAAATGCAATAAATATTTAATTATTAATATAAAAAAGAAAAATAAATACTTTATTATTATTGGATAAAGTTGAATTATTTTCTTGATTTTTTGTAAGGATAAAAATTTAAAATAAATGTTTTCTTTATTTCTTTATTATTATGATGTTTTATTTAGTTTTTAATTATTAATTATATAAACATTTAAGGTTAAAATTTAGAAATAAAAGTGTTAATATAATAATATTAATAATTATCGTTGCCTTAAATTGCCTTTTTTATAACATTTGAGATTTGAAGTGTTACACTTAAAAAATTTTTCAGGCTTTTAGATATTTCTTTTAATTGTTTCATTTCTTCATCGTGGGAAATCCTTATGAATTTGATACATTCTTGATTCTAAAAAAAATGGTTAAATTATAAAATAAAGCAAATATGAGAAAAAAATACACAGAAAAAGAATCCCTCACAACACAAGGATATTCAGGATATCCCTGGGACGTCCTGGGGATATCCATTTGCTTTTGGCGATTCGGATATCCCTAAGATATCCTCTGGATATCCATGGACATCTCTAAGATATCCCAGGGATATCCAAACCGCCGAAAACAAATCGATATCCCCAGGACGTCCCAAGGATATCCTGAATATCCTTTTGTTGTGAGGGATTGTACCAACCTAAATTTATCAAAATGATACCATTTTTTTAGTCACCCGATAGCAAGAAAATTTTTTAAAGTGAATGTAGCTTTGAATCGCTACGTAGCGAAATCTTCGTAGCGTTGTCGCTATTTGTAATCCCACTCCAGGCGCTTGACAAACGGAATCGATGAGGCATTAACCAAAGTATTACCCTACAGGAGCGAATGTTTGTTTTTAATGGTCGCTCATAATCATTCTTACTTTTTAAATGATATTGGTTTGTCTCAGGATAAACTCAATACCTTCTACATTTAGGAGGCTCCTGATACAAGACTAGACGGAGAAAAATAGTTGGATAGTATATACATTTTTTATTGTATAGAAGAAATTTGGTTGCAATATCTTCCAAAAATGTTGGATCAGTTAAAGGCGTTAGTCACACTGTCAATTTAAAATTAATCCTGACAATTGGATAGCCACTTTTATGTTGCATGATTGAAATTTAAAAATGGCGATATACCAGTCAAGTGACATGTCAGCGAGGTATGTCAGTCGAAATTGTCTAAGTGTTGTGTCCCGGTTATTTATAAATGAGAAGTTCAGTTGATGGGTATAGATTTACCTTAAAAAAGTGCGAATCAATTTAATTATAGTGATTATTAAAAGTGTAGGTCAAGTCAATTTTTATTCCCTATGCCAAAGTTAGATGTTAAACAACAGTGTAACCTAACTTTTGTGTCAAAGTGTATTTTTCGATTTGAGGGTGAAGTTGTCACTAAGTTAGTTCTTTGGAATTGAATTGTTATTATAGGCAATTGTGTGTCAAACATTTTTTTTTGTTTTAATTACGGTTGCCTAATAAATATTTCTCTTAGTAAAAATATTAATCAATATTAACCAAAAGTGAATAAAAAAGTTTAGATTTACTGATATTGAAATTTGTAGCTACAACC